TGGGGGCTGAAAAGGGAAAGGTTCAGTCATTGTTTGCTCAGAATGTGCCCCAGAACTGGGGTACATCAGCAAACCCATGCACTGCTCGCTCAGCATCTCCTCTCCTCCAGCAGCACTCCAGGTTTTTAACCACATTTGCTTCCATTTCAGCTGTGATCGGAAACTACTTCCAAGTTGATACTTACTAGGAATATACTTGTCAGGAAATACTGATCAGGAACACTCCCCTACGAAACTTACCTGGAACGTGGTACGCTGGGGCCTGGCTGTGAGGGGCAACCAGTAGGTGACAATGAGGCTAAGGACAGAGGGGAAGCTGCAGATCACCCAGAAAGACAGTGAGAATTGAAACTTCGGTGTTTGTTGGGCTTCCTGGTGTCCCAGCTAATAAATATCACTGTGCTTCAGTCTTGTCACTGTCTGATTTCACAGATCAATGTACAGATGTGTGAGTCAGTGTGCACACACCTAGCGCGTGTATAAAGTGTTGACCTCTCCGTGCGTGTGTGTATGTGTGTGTGTGTGTGTGCATGCGCGCAGTGCTGACCCACATGTGCCAGTGCCATACTGGGCACCTATACTGGGCACCTATACCCTTGTAATATATAATTGTATAAACCTTTGGCTGGTCCCCAGTAGGCGTTCGAATAAAGTATACATGTCCCTGTGCACAAGTCTCCTTCCCACTTCAAAGCCCGTGGCCCTTTCTCCCTGCGTGTACTAAAAGGTTTCTTTGTGAGCCAGGCCATTTGTCCGTCATTGTCTGGGGCCCAAGCGGTGGTAAGACACCCTGTCACCGATCCGGCGCGCGGTGAATGGCAGCTCCTCTCCGGACAATTGGCGGCAGTGCTGAGGAATATCCCTGAGAGGATTATTTAACCTTTCAATTTAGGGGGCACAAAGCCCTGCTGATTAATGAACTTTCTGATGGGGGCCGATAAGCGGATCTATTTCTTTATTTCCTCCAGAAGTGATTCCTTCTCCTGTCCCATATTACTATAATCTTAAGCATAAAATGTGGCAAATAGATTAAAAAACAGCACTAAAGAGTTTATCTGGGCGGCAAACTGAAGGAGCTAAATTAAAATGGGTAATGAAAGCGGCGGCTGAGCCCTGTCGGTGTGTGTTGAAGAGACTCATTCTCCATCCCGGCTGGTAATGACTGCTTCGGGAGCACGGCCCGGGCCCGGCGCCTGTTATCCCCCCAAAAAAATGAGCTGTGTTATCTGGATGACTGCAGACACACACGCATCCCCCTTCCTCACTGCATGGGCAGACAAGGTCGATAGCATTACAAGGTATTTGTGGCAGTGCTTGTTT